GCGACTCAAGCCGAAAGAGTGTCTCTACATATCCCTTCCCCCCAGTACCACAGAACTGTTCAAGAATGTTAATAGGCTGTGGCAAGTGGATGTTTTGCTCTTTCAGAATGAAAGGGAGTGCACAAGGTCAAAGCAGGACCAAAGGGCCGTTGAACTACTGGAAGCCAAAACAGTTCGCGTAGAGGTGGATGGAATATGCCGGTATGCAACAACCTTGTTACGAAAAAGTGACATGCCCCATCTTCACACCACTATGGAAGCAGTCATGCCACACCTACGAAGTACTGAGAGAAAACTTGCCAGAAACACGCAACAAGCTGATGCTTATTCCTCCGAAATCCAGAAATTGGTTCAGTCAGGAGCAATCAGAAGGCTCAGTCCAGAAGAAAGAGAAGGAGATGGTGAGTGCTGGTTTATTACACATCACATGGTGTGCCATAATAGCAAGAATCGTGTGCTGTTTGATTGCTCCTTTCAGTTTAATGGTCTCAGCTTAAATGATTCACTCCTCGCTGGCCTTAGTTGGAATTGCCCAGCAGATGTCCTGACTTACTGTCACCGGCCCATCGATCATGGTGCTCCCACCATGAGGATTATTTATAAAGTTTTAGCAAGCCAGTACGACCCCTTAGGATATATCCTCCCATATACTACGAGGGCTAAGGTACTGGTCCAACAACTTTGGAACAAGCAGCACAGCTGGGATGATACCCAACTTCCCCAAGCCTTAGTCCAGAGCTGGAACAAATGGGAAAGTGAGCTGCAGTTTCTTCACAAGATCAGTTTCCCAAGATCATATGTACCAGATTCAGTAGATCAAACGAGATCTATTACAGACCTTCGTGTGTTCAGCGATGCTTCAGAGAGTGCATATGGAGCAGTCGCCTACCTGCGCACTGAAGATCAGCTGGGTAAAATCCATCTGTCATTCGTACTGGTACACTCTAGAGTAGCACCAAAAAGAGTCCTCTCAATACCCCGCTTGGAGCTCTGTGCTGCGGTGCCCCGAGATCGACAAGTCTGAGCTCAAGAAATCGGCATTCTGTGGAGTTGTAGCTGTAGACAGACAATTTGGCAGTGAGTACAAGACCTGGACAGAACTGGTGAAGGCCATTGCACAGGAGCTACATGGGGCGGCTGGAGAATCAGGAGAACCTACAGCAAACACTTACCAAACAGCAGAGACATACATACTCCAGAAGGTGCAAAGTGAGAGTTTCCCTGGGGAATTACAATGGTTGAAATCAGGCAAGGCTCTTCAACATAATAGCCGCTTACTCACCTTAACTCCAGAATATGACACATCCACCAATCTAATCTGGGTTGGTGGTAGGTTAAGACATGCAGAGACCTTAAATCCCACCCTGAAACATCCAATCGTACTAGACTCTAGACCACTTCTGGTCCTCCTTTATCCGCCATTACCTTCCGAACTTGCAAGTCAGACAGAAATGGCACCATACATTCCCTAATATAACCACAGGCACGATAGTCATGATAATGGATCCCCAACAGCCCAGAGCACATTGGCCTATTGGGAAAGTAGTCCAGGTGCACCCCAGTCAAGACTCGCAAGTGAGACCAGTGGATGTTCAAGTTCAAGGGAAGGTTTATACTAGACCCGTAGCTCGACTTGTGGCCCTACCCCCCATCCCAGAAGATGATACAGAGGAGCCCAATACACCCAACGCAGCATCAGTAACACACACGCAACCTTCTCAAGTGTCAAATTGATCACAATTCGGGGGCGGCTGTACAAACGGCTTGCATGCGTGGCCCCTTTAAGACTTGTTGCCCTTTTAAGAGTTGTTGCCCTTTTAAGACTTGTCACCATTTTAAGATTGCGCAGCAAAGTTTGAGAGAAGAGATGCGAGCCGATCCAAATCCAGGTGTTAATATGTGTGCGTGCATCCTGTAAAGTGAGTTGTTCTTGTTAAATTATGCTTAATATTGAGATTAAGTTGTAATCTTGCCGGCATTTGCAGCTATGGTAATTATTTTCGATTGATTGAGCTTGCATAACCAGCGCCTGTTTACATGCACGTTATGTATATCTGCCGTGAAATTCTATAATCGCTTTATTTCTACTGTTCTCATGTTCTACGTTGAGATAGATTATTGTTTTAGTTCATCTGTCTATTGTGAATTGCAAGTATAAGTGTGTTAATGAAGATTGTGGTTAAATGGCCTATTCAGATGCTAATATGGCAATCCAGTGAGCTGTAGCATTTCACATATTTCCAGTAATATTGATAGTAATGTCAAATTATTGGATTTGAAGTTTGTATTATTCACTTTATTGTATTTGTTATCTTTGTACAGACCACACCTATTACATGCTCCATAGCACAGTAAAGTCATCAAAGAAAGAACTGTTGTTGAATGAGTTCCTGGGTTCTGACCAGCCCACCAGGGCAAGTGATCCCTTCCACAGTCCTTTAAAGATAAACTCAAAATTTCCAAATCCTACAATACCATCTAAGTAGCCTTTTAATAGAACCACACGTCTTCTTTAGTGATACAAGCTCAGAAACATTTATAACCTGTTGAAGTTTTTTATATTGTGTATTGACTTGGTGCCATGATGGATATTGAAATGTTGTTATTTATTTTTCATTTTAAGACGATTGCTTAATAGTAATATAATATTTGTGAACACAACTGTGTATGTCAGACCATAAATCACCCAAAACTATGCATGGGGGCTTGCTTTGGTGTTGCCACCCCTCATAGACCCCATGCCACCGTAAAAATTATTTTCTAGATCCGCCCCTGCAAACATTTTAAATTAAAAGAAAACTTTGAGATATAACGTAATGTTGTTGTAGAACATTGTTGTGTATAATGCCTAATCATAAGCTTGTTCAGAAATGGTGACAAAAACCTGATTATTAAAAAATAACGTGTTTCTCGTTAAACATAATTTAAATAAACGAATATTCGAATATTAGTTTTCTTAATGAGCCCAAATATTCAAATACAGTATTTTTGAAAAATGCCCATCTCTAAAAAACCACTGATTGTCATTTAATGCTAAAGATTTTTAAAGATCTTTGTTTTAGTGTGTAGTTTGCATTTTGGCAGCTGCTGCTAAAATTAGCACAGCAAAGCCACTGAGACCCTCATTGTGCTGGGCCGTTCCCTGGGCCTCCATAAATCCATGTGTTGTTTAGGCTGCAGCATTCAACTCAAGGGACATGATAAAACACGGCAGGGCTTGTCTGAGCATAATGCCAAATAACGACCTTCTCATTCTCTTCACAGGCCTTGCGTGTTTCAACAGCACTTTAACTTCTGTATACAATGACTCTCCCGAGCCTCTTTGTCTCATTGTTTCTTTTTCTCCACTCAGGAATCCCTCTGCTCTGTTTCCTGGTGCTGCTCCCACTCAACATCCCTTGGTCACAGATCAGCGTGATGTGGCTTGGCGTGGTGCACTTCCTGGCCTGCCTGTCACCGCAGCTGGGCTCAGTGGTCTACCATCTCTTCATGAACCATGAGGGTGGCGAGCCCATCTACAAAACCCTGCTCACGCTAGATATGTGTGGAATCTGCATGATCAACACGCTAGGTCAGCATCTCTAACTGATGTCAGATCAATCCGAGCGCTCCATCACATGATCTCTCAGTACATCTTTTAGATTCTGTTCTGTTTTCCTCTGTTGATTCAGGTTTTTTTTTTCTCCGGACACCCCACATTTGATATTTTTGTATAGGTTGTTCATACCTAATGAGGTCACCTGATAAAGTGATGGTGCACACTAAAACAGGCTATATTGCATTAGAGACCTGTGTCACAGCAGCCCAATGAATAAGTAAAATATGCGTTTCCCCTATATACAGTTGTTGTCAGAATTATTGGCACCCTTCGTAAATATGATCAAAGAAGGCTGTGAAAATAAATCTGCATTGTTAATCATTTTGATCTTTTATTTAAAAAAAATCACAAATATCTAACCTTTCATTGAACTAAAACAATTGAAAATGGGGGAAAATCTCATTATGAAATAAATGTTTTTCTCAAATACACGTTGGACACAATTATTGGCACCCCTAGAAATTCTTATGAGTAAAATATCTGTGAAGTATATTCCCATTCATATTTACAATTTTGAGCATACCAGGGTGATTATGAACATGAAATTATCCAGCCATGGCTTCCTGTTTCACAGGAATATAAATAGGAGGGAAAACAAAGGCCAAATTCCCTTAATCATCCATCACAATGAGAAAA